CACGAGCCAGTCTCCATTTAAATGTCCTGCTCCCTTTAACTTCAGCTGTGAAATCATCATCATTATTATTGTTATTGTTGTTGTTCTTGTTGTATTGGTACTGTTATGATCATATTCTGTATTGATTTACATTTGGACTTAACCGGTTAATGAATTTTGTGTTTCATTCCAAAGCCTAAAATGTTTTAAATAGCCTATACACTTTATGTTGGCTTTCTATTTTCTCTGCAATCTTCTTCAGGATGAATAAAGTGGGCCTATTTATCGATCAATCATATTTTAATAACTAGTGTTAAGTACCATGTTACCCCTACAAGTACCATACTGTTGTCAAAACATCATAGGATAAAACAAGTTTCAAAGTACCACGTACTCAACGTACCCAAGAGTACCATGGTATACAGTATAAGTACCATGGTACATGTACAATGGTACTGTCAAAAATACCAGGGTAGCGTACCATAGTACTGGTACCATAAATGTACCATGGTACAATTTCTTATGTGTTGCCAAAAACATTGCACAGGAAAAGAAATTCAAATGTTTTTTTATTTAAAAAAAAATAAAATCATACTGGAATGGACGCAGAAATAATTACCTCAAACAATAAATTTAGATCAGCATAAGGAAAACGGATATGATGCATTCAAGTATATGAACATACGCTTCGTATTCAAGAACAAAATTATACTCCAGAAAAGCAGTTAAGCCTGGAAATCGAGCCTTTAATCAGGTAAATTGAAATTGTTTCACATGAAAAGCGTGAGAGATTATTTTGTAAAAATAATGTTAAAATAATCTCTTCAAACATTAAGATCAGTGGTTATTTTACGGATTTAAATTGTGTTTTTTCCAATGTTACCCCTTTTGCTTACTTAATATACAGTATAGAACCGCTTGCAGGATCGGTACCACACAAAAACCAACTGACAAGAACGTAAGATATAGGATACATGTAGATAATGTGCTTTTGCACTTGGAATCAACCCACTGAATCTCTTATTCACCGAATCTTTGATTCCATGGTAAGAAAGCTGTCATGAGCTGCAGACTGACACAAAGCGTCTCAATTGTAAGCCTCTGAGCGTCATATTGCCGCTGTAATTTCTGTCATCAATGAATTATACTCCTGGTGCACAGCTCTCCCTCGGGCTGGAAGCGTGAAAGAGGGGTTATTTCACGGAGAACAAGCAGAAAGACGCGTGAAGAAGCTCAGGAACAGACCGAGGCTGACGAAGATAACTCCAGCCCCTTCGCAGAGGTTTTGACCTGGGACCAAGACACAGAAGACAGCTTCTTTAGAAAACCTCATGAGAATTGAGAATGACAGTTGAGGAAGAAACTCAAGTAACCCGAGTCTGACACACTGAAAGAAATGAACACATTTTCCCCCCTCAAGTCATCATACAACAGCTTTCCGGCAATCTGTTCTTGCTTAAAATAATAGTAAAATTTGTATAGAACTGGACTTTTAAGGACAGATGTTCGTGTAATGTTCAGTACCATTCTCATGTAGTTTTACACACACACACACGTAGAGAGCGTGAAGCCTCTGTGCTTTAAAATAATTTACGAATTAATTCGGGTAGATAAGATCCTAGCTGACTTGTTCTGTTTTCACTCGTTCGATGTTGTCTTTGTAGCGCTGCGCTACAGAGCCCGTACGTGTTTCTCGTCTTTGTAGCGTAAAGAAAACGGAACCCGCCCGCCATGTGGCACAGACCCAGAGCCATTCCCGCGACCGGCCGCCCTCCCTCCTCCCCGCTCCCCGCCCCTCAGGCCTGATAGTCGCTGCCAGAGCGGCTCGGAAGTCGGCGTGTAGTTGCAGCGTCATCGTGAGGAGCCGTTTGAATGAAGTGAGACGAGACGAGGCGAGAGGAGAGAGGAGCGATCCGCAGGACCGAAACGAGTGCTCCAGTCCCCCCCGGAACCCGGTGAATCGCAGCGTCAGGCCCGGAAAATGCCCGTGTTTACAGGTAGGCCGGGGGGAGGCGGCGGGGCGAGCGGCGCTGGGCCCCGGGACGAGACACGTGCGAGGGCTCGGGCTAGGCCGCGGGCACGACCGGGGGCTTTCCCACTGGAGGAGCCGGGGGAGGCGAGGCCACCTGCCGTGGAATAGGCGCTGGCAGCCCCTTAGATGCAGGTGCCGCCTGAGGCGGTCGCGGGTGTGGGGGTGTGTGTGTTTGGACGCCCATTGGTGCGTTTGCTCAGCCGCCTCTGTTTGTGTGTTTTTATCTAGTGAACCCGGCACCGGGCTGCCTCTCTTACAGATGTGTCCGTATTGACATCCTCGTCCACTTCAGCCAGGGCGCACACCCTGTCTGCTGGACCGTCTGTCCTAACCACGCCCTCCCCCCCCGTAAAGCAAATTAAAAAGGTGTTTTTATTATGAACCCCGTCGGCAGCGGTGGTTGTGTCCGAGCGTGTCGTAGAGAGACACTCTCCCGGCAGTCGGGGCCTTCAGCGCAGCCCTGTCTGCGGGGAGCTGATCTGATTGCTGCGATCTCGAGGTGATGTTGTTGTTGTTGTTGTCGTTTTTTAGGGATTGAGTGTAAAAAAAAATGGTTGTTTGAGACGCGCAGTACAAAGTCAGACACACGGCCTGAGTCATGCGATTGAAGCGCAGTGTGTTTGACTTGAGCTTTGACGGGCAAGTCATCTGTCATTGTGCCGTGCGAGACAAGGGACCGGTCTCTCACGAAACGAGCTGAATGTGTTTCATGGGATTTTGCATCTCGTAGAACCGGCCACTGACCCCCCCGTGTCTCCACCTCTCTCCCTCCCACGCCAGTGAACGTGAAGTGGGGAAAGGAGAAGTTCGATGCTGTGGAGCTGAACACGGAGGAGCCGCCCGTGGTGTTCAAGGCCCAGCTCTTTGCGCTGACGGGAGTCCAGCCCGAGAGGCAGAAGGTCATGGTGAAAGGGGGCACACTCAAGGTACGGCGTGTGCCATCTGTTATAGCCGTGGACTTGCGTGCAGACGCACAGAGGACGAGAACCTGTTACATTATGTGCAGAATTAAGACCAGGGTCAGGGTACTGGACTCAAATGTTCAAATCCCAGTTGAGACACTGCTGTTGTGCAAATAACGTTTACCCAGACTGTTCCAGTAAAATGCCCCATTTATGTAACTGGTTGCAAATACAAGTTGCTTTGGTTAAACATATATGGATATAACTATATATAATTAAGCTAATTTAAATGTGTAATGATCTGTTGAAAATCTTCAGGTTTTTACTTTCTTAATTCCACTTCAAAACAGTAATAAGGCTCACTTACATCTCTTTTTTTTCCTTTGCTCTCTTTTTTTTTAGGACGATGAATGGGGTAACATCAAGTTAAAAAATGTAAGTGTTTGCTCCAGGTGGTTTGGGGCTGTTTGGAGAGGAGCTGTGACAGTCACACGTGGGTCTTTTCGCTGTTGTTGTTGTTGTTGTTTGACTGGGGTTGGGGGCCCTGCGAGAGAAACTGGCGGGGAGCCACTGAGGGTTTGTTGGCGCATGTGTGCCTGGGGGATGTGTGGTGTTTCGCCAGAGGCTTCAGTGTCGTGTTGCATGAGTGTTTTTCCCACTCCAAGGCACTGTAGTTATATTCTTGACATCAATGCTTTGGGCTCTGTGTGCTCTTGTCTGTTTGGTCTTCCGCTGGGGTCCATGTCTTCCACTCTGGGCACCGAGGGTCCGGCGCTTGACCAGGCCTCTGGGCCTGGCTCGGGCCTGACTGGTGTGGCGTGCTCATGGCTCCTCCTGAACTCTGCGTCCCTCCCCAGGGAATGACCCTGCTGATGATGGGCTCGGCGGAGGCTCTGCCCGAGGAGCCGGCGGTCCGGCCAGTGTTCATGGAGGACATGACCGAAGAGCAGCTGGCTTCGGCGGTGAGTGCGCGTGCCGTCGCCGCCGGGACGGGCCTGGCGCGGATCTCGGGGGGCCCGGGAATGATTCCGTGTGTTCTGATCCGTCGACGGTTCCGTGATACCTGTTAATACAAGGGACACCTCGTGTGGGATCTGACATTTTTGATGAGCATCTAGATGTCCTAGCGAAGCCCTCCCACTTGCCATCCAGCGCTGGAGGGAGCAAGGTCTTCCGTCCTTGTAGAGACAGGGACAATGGAAGTCCAGTCCTTGAGGATTATGAGAAATGACCGCTTGAGCTGTCCACTTTCTGACAGCGTTGTTTCTCTACAATAGTAAGCCCTGCAGACTTTATTAGGTACGAAAATATTTTAGTTCTCAGTGGCACACTGGTTAACGTTGCTGCCTCACCGCACTGGAGGTCCTGGGATCAGTTCTGGTGCTGGGGTGCCGTCTGTGTGGAGTCTCCGTATTCATATGGGTTTCCTCCCACAGTCCAGACGTGTGCTGGTAGAATCTGAGGCTACTGGGAGACCTGGCCCTGGTGTGAATATGTGTGTGTGTCAGTGTGCCCGGCACTGGGCTGAAGTCCCATCCAGATGCTTGCTGGGATAGGTTCCAGCTCTCCTGCGACCCATGGATAAAGCAGTTCGGAAATGGATGGATGAATATACATTTCTGCTCAAATACCATTACTTCTACATGAATGCTTTACACACGCAAAGTGTCCACAAAATGTCGTTTTTTACTTGATGCCAGTCATGCCCACGCAATTGTCATAATGTCCATCCTGTGCTTGTAATAGTTGAGTTACCCTGACCCAGTCCACCGACCCCAGCGTGAGCTTGCTGTCTGCGTCCTGTTTGCTCTGTTTGGTGTTCAGATTTAGTATACATTCCCCTGCGAGCAAGCAGGATACTGAGCTATTCCTTATGAATATACAACTCCATATGTTTTCTTCTTATTGACATAAATCTCTTGGAGATGGCTTATTATCAAATCTAAACAAAGCCTGTTTCCTGTTGCCACTTTTAGTCTGGTTGATGCTTTATGTAACCAAACACTTTGCCTCTTGATTGCAGATGGAGCTGCCTTGCGGACTGACGAACCTGGGCAACACGTGCTACATGAATGCTACTGTCCAGTGTCTGCGCTCGGTGCCCGAGCTCAGAGAATCCCTGAGGGGGTAGGACAGTTTTTGGACAATTGGGAAAAGAGACCATTTCAAAGAATTTCAAATAATTTTGCTTTTTGTGGTGAGATGCGGTAAAAATTCTATTGGCTGTACTTAAAAAAATTTGTTGTCTTTATTGCATGTCCAGTGTAAATATTCGTTTCTGTTTCATATGACTTACTAAAAAAGGTGGGGTAGCAAAAAAAAAATCAATAGCAGTTTGCATGCAATACTGAACAATAAATGGTGCAGTTGTGAAGCTAATATGGCACAGAGACACTGAAGAAACATTAAGAATTCAACAAAGTCTTAAACATAAGCAGCAATATTAACTCCGATATGCTATACAAAAATAATACTGCAAGCTGATGAGCCACTAATCTAGAGATGGAGAAATGGTTCTTTGTTATGAAAGAGACAGATTGTTTTTATATTATCTACCAAGAATCTAAAATACAGTATTGACTCAGATGTATCATTGCTATATATTTTTGTTTCAGATGTTTTAATATAGTTTTAAACATGAATTCGTTGCGTATATATTTGAGGTCTAGTGTCCCTGACCTGTTTTTCACGGCCTGTTGCCCTTCGTTTCTCCTTTTATACTGGCTGAGTGTTTAGTTGCCATCCTGGGTAACTGGACGAGGCGACGCTGAAACGTATCAAGTGATCTCCACTGACTGAGTTTACTAACACTATGAAATGCAAGCATGAATAATAAAAAAACAGCAAGGTAGTTTTCATGACTTGCAGTGCATTACTGTGTTTGTGTTCATCCAGAATGTCATCTTAAATTCTCAGTTTAATAATTACTGTTATGATAGTAGCTTAGTTACTCCCCTCTCCGTTGAGAAGTGTTGATGTCTCTGTGTCCTCTGGTATGTTGTACGCGGTCGAAAGCGGCGCTTGAAGCGCACTCTTCATCGGGACTTGCTCTCTTTTGGTCCTGGGGGTGACCTGGGCAGCGCGCGTGTGTCCTCTCAGAGCTGGGCTGGTCTGGCTCCTGCCCTGTCTCTGTTCTCAGGCGTCGCTGCTCTTCATCTCTCTGTTGCAGGTATTCAGGTGCCTTGAGAGCCTCCGGCGCCAACGCGTCGTCTCAGTACATCACAGCAGGTCAGTATGGGACGCGGATTCGGCCTTCTCCCCTTCTCAGACACCGCAGCTCAGGTGAACACTTAACTGGGTTCCACTACATCCTTATTTTGTGCCTTTTCTCCCCCCCCCTTTCGCTCAGCCCTACGTGACTTATACGAGTCCATGGATAAGACGTCCTCAAGTATACCTCCTATCATCCTCCTGCAGTTTCTGCACATGGCCTTCCCCCAGTTCGCAGAGAAAGGAGACCAGGGCCAGTACCTGCAACAGGTGAGTGTGCTCTGCTGTCTGGGCCCCAGTCTGCTGCCCCTCCAAGTCTCTATATCAGTCCATCTGATACAGAAACTACGGATTTGGATTAACCCTGAAAGCTGTTACTTTGTTTTCCAAGCCTAGTATATTAACATTAAGACTTACTGATATTTCCATGATGGTTGAACAGAATAACTGTAAGTGGTTAATTGCTTGATGATTATTTAAAAACGCGCCTCAACAAATAGAGGCCAGCATAACTCCAGGCTTAGAATAATGTTGCTTGAATAGAATCAACCTCTCTGCACGCGTGGTGCCCTGAACGTTTAGAAAAAGTTTCTTTTCCTTCGTATCCCGCTTGCAGGATGCCAATGAGTGCTGGGTTCAGATGATGAGAGTCTTGCAGCAGAAGTTAGAACCGCTGGAAGCTGAGGCATCTGTGGAGGTAGGGAGATTCAGTCCTTTTGCACTGGAGTGATGAGTTATCTGGAGTGTGTCTCTCTCCAGCAGTGTGAGTACTGTGGTTCCAGGTATGCATCTCTGCTTTAAATATCTAAAGCAGCAACCGGTGAAGGAGCCCTCAGCTGTACCGCCGCCAGACAAGCACTCGACAGCTTTCGGCTGCTGCGGGATCCTGATCGCTGTGCTCAGGTGGCTTATTTTGCGATTCCACTGTCAGTTTAAATGATCTAAATCCTTGGCATGTTGCTCCTGCTTTCAGACGGACACAGGGATGGCTGTGGAAAGCGCAGCTGCTGGCGCCCAGGCTAAGAAGAACTTAATCGACCAGTTTTTTGGTGTAGAATTTGAGACCACGTATCCTTCAGAACTTGAGCACCTGTAGAAGGTTATCGTCCCGCCCTACCTTCATTTTTAGTAAGATGAGAAACTGATGTCAGCTCTCTGGCAGGCCTAGTGTCTTGAGTTTTGAAGAGACGCAAGGGGCTTGTGCTGTTGTGTGCTTGCGTTTTCAATCAGCTGCGCCTTTTGCTGTTTTCCAAAGTGTGCCGGAGACAGCTCAGGCAGTTACCAGTCCAGGCTGCTCTCCCAAAATAAGGACTTTGTTTGAAGAATGAGCTCAAATGCAAGACCGCATCAAAAGCATTCTTCACCATCCTGTCTTTCTCAATTCCAACACCAACCAAGGAAGCAGCTTGTTATGGTAAAAGGGAAAGGCCAGCATAGGGCTGATTGTACGCTGAGACCACAGTGCGTCTGTAGTATCCCACTGGTACATTAGTATCTCAGCAGAAGGCAGCATGTAGCTCGGTTTTCTTTGGAATATTTTATACATTTAGATTATTTTTTTTCATGGGAGGTACACTTCAACAGGTTTACTTGAATGTACAAAAGGAGTGCTGAACAGGGAAGAGGAACTTCTCATGCTGCAGCATGCAGCATTTCAGTTCGCATTTTGCAGAGCCGTGAAGTAGCCAGTCTTAATCTGAGGTTACTGCTCTGCATCACTCCTTTTAGTTCACTGCCTCAGTTCTTCAGTGGACATGACATCTACAGCCACCGGTGTGTGGTCTGCAGGGTGAGAGGTGCTTCAGGCAGTCCTTGTGGTTTTCTCTTCTCTTTGATTTCACAAGAACTGTTCAGTGTTTGATAAAAGAGCTCCTCCCGCTGGGACGGCCCTCGTTCCGGTGGGCTGAGTCTGTTTGCGCTTTAACCTCCTGTAACTCAGTATGAAGTGCACGGAAGCTGAGGACGAGGAGCCGACGAAAGGCAAGGAGAACCAGCTCCAGCTCAGCTGCTTCATTAACCAGGAGGTGAAGTACCTCTTCACAGGGCTGCGCTTGGTGAGTCGGGTCACGCCGCCACAGGGATCCGTACCGCCGGCTTGTGCCGCTGGCCAGAAGGTGATTGAAACCTCTTTGTGTTTCCAGCGTCTTCACGAAGAAATCACGAAGCTGTCTCCATCGTTGCAAAGAAACGCCTTGTACATAAAATCTGTAAGTATGCCTCCAGTTCAGGGTCCAAATAAAGATTCACACAACACAGTCTCCTGTGTTGAATTGCCCTTTTTTTTAATGGCTTCTGTAAAGACTCGTGGACATTGGGAATTGGTTTGTGAATTGAATGGGCTGTTTCCGGCTCAGGATTCTTGGGAAGCATGCCATCCCCTCTTAGGATTTTAACATTGTTAAAACGGTTGACTTCCGTCTCCTTTTACAGTCCAAAATCAGCCGCCTGCCTGCGTACCTGACAGTTCAGATGGTTCGGTTCTTCTACAAAGAAAAGGAGTCAGTGAATGCCAAAGTCCTAAAGGTGAGAATGCTCTAGGCAGAAAAAGATCAAGGCACAAGCTTCTATTTAACTTAATGGCTTACTGTAATAGATGCCTTAATATTAGACTATACTTACTATGCTGTACTGTTAAAACTAGTAACTGGTTGTTAATATTCATTTTGTACTGTTTTGTAATGTGGTGTTGAACGGTGCGCATAAGAATTTCAATATACATGTACATATGGCAAATAAAGTCCTCTTAAACCATGAATATCTCATCAACTGAAGAGAGAGTGTTGTTGTTTTTGTTAGGTATGGCACAGTTCATAAGAACTGTTTTATTCTTGCCTCCTCCCGCAGGATGTGAAATTCCCTTTAATGCTTGATGTTTTTGAGCTGTGCACCTCTGAGCTGCAGGAGAAAATGGTGGCCATCAGGTCAAAGTTCAAGGAGGTAGAAGACAAAAAACTTAACCAGCAGCAAAAGGTGAGCATGCAGCACCATCGATGCAGACGCTGAAGTTCTGCCACTCTACTGGTAACTGTTGAACAAAGTTTGACCAGGCTTGTGTTTCTGGGGTGCTGACCATTGACGGCCGGGCTCATGTTGCTATGTAGTGTGTACCCCTGTTGTCCGCTGTGTAGATTGTGTGCATGTGGCACACTTTGTTACTGCATTCTCATCTCGGTGTAGTGGCTGTTGCAGGCTTTGTAAGGGCCTTTGTAAGGCCTGGAAGCTGTTGATATATCCAGCCCTTTACTAAATGTGTTTTTTCCATCGACTGTTTCAACAGGTGGACAAGACACCTGTGCCAAAGCAAGCGAAATATGAGCCCTTCTCATTTCCTGATGGTGAGTATAAACTATGAAAATACCCATTCGTTCTCTGTGGACAGCAGAATATAGGCCACGCCTTTCACAGTCAGTGAATCATTTTGCATGAATGCCGTTTTATTTAAAACTTTGTGCCTGTTGATTTTTTTTTTTAGCATACCAAGTTAAAGTTAATCAGTGATAACTTCTAACTTTTCTAATTTCATATCTGGAAATTTCAGGTGTTTCAAAATGTACGAGTTCCATTTTTTTTGTTTCATTGAACAAAAGAGGAGTTAGGTAATTTATTTTAAGACAAGGCCGATTGGGAGTATTTGAAAGTTTTAACCTATGGACATAATAATGCACCGCATCCTGTGATTGATCGTTAAAAAGAAGCAAGCCTTATTAAGATGAAACAAAAATAACTAAAAAAGGTCTTACAGCTAATAAGATTCTTTGCATTTATTTAATTGTACGATATGTTGCCCTTAACAGATATCAAAAGTAAGGTACTTGTGAAATGAAAAAATATACATACAGTATATAAAGAGGTATTGCTGTACAGTGTTTCCATCAGTTTTATGTCATGCTAATAACATTCTGTAGGCTGCTGATTGATTTCTGTAATTTTCATGTTACACACATCTTTAGCATCATACATGTTACTGAGCAATATAATAAGCCTTTAATTGGGAATGCACAGATTGAGGGGCCCTAGATTGGCTTGGCTGATTCATCAGTGACAGTATAAAACACAGTTACTGATCAATGTAGCACCTTATTTATACAGTAGTTTAACTTAAATCAAAAGTAGAAAAGGCCAGCTTTTGAAATCCTTTCATATCAAATCATCCTTTCAGTGATTCAAAACTCCCACTGTCACAAAATAGGTTCGTGGATGTTAGACATTGTATCGCGCTAAACTAAACTATTTTGGCGGTGAGCGTGCGGCCAATTTACACATGTTGAATTGACGTGCTGTATTTGTGTGTAGTATTTGACACCTACTCATCTTCATCGTGATTGGACCTGACGTTTTGTTTTTTTACCCCGTCTTTTTGATTTAGATTTTGGCTCCAACAACAGTGGTTACTATGACCTTCAGGCTGTGTTGACACATCAGGGACGATCAAGCTCATCTGGACACTATTTAGCCTGGGTCAAAAGAAAAGAAGGTAAAAGCCTCCCATTGCCTTAACGAAGAAGCCTTTAAATTAAAAATTCACTGATCTAGGTTAGTTTTGCTTTAAATTGTCCACACACTGGAGGGAGAGCTTCCGTTGCATTGGGGAATTTAGAAATAGTTTGGGGATCTGAGTTGTCATCCAGAGAAATGCCTTTCATGCCTTAAAGGGGAATTGCGACACTATTTTTACAATTCAGGGTTCTAATGTGGCGTTTGTGCGGTGAAATGTCTGCTGCATGGAGTGTTCTTGTTCGCTCGCACATTGCGGAGACTAGCGATCGGGAAGGGCCGGTTTTGCATCGCAGTTCTCGCGAGCTCTCGCCCATGGCGAGGCCAGGGGTGTGCAGCAACATGGAGAGCATACACTCATTTCAAAAACGTTCGCCATTTGTGCTCGATTCGGGATTCGTCAAATTTGGCGATACCATCAATTACATTTTTTTTTGCCGGGGTTTAATAACTGGTCTGAGAAATTGGGAAGGCAGCTCTCCTTTGAGTGCTGCACAGTCGAACAGTGCTTCTGGAGTTAACTTCTGCTTGGGGTTTTTCGGATGACTACATCAGGCTGTACTGCCCCGTGTTGCCGATCGAGATGTGAGCCAGGAGTCCTCTACAAAGCAGCACGTCTCGTTTTCCCTTGCAGGCGAGTGGGTCAAGTTCGACGACGACAAAGTGAGTGTCGTGGCGCCAGAGGACATCCTGAAGCTGTCCGGCGGCGGGGACTGGCACATAGCCTACGTCCTGTTATACGGGCCCCGCAGGCTAGAGATACTGGAGGGCGAGCAGCAGTAATCACAAGTGACAAAGATGCCATTTTCAAGCACTGTCTGCATAGATGTGCAATAAATATTTGTGTCTTTAAAACTTATGATGACCTTAAAATCTTTTTGTAATGAATGCTGGTTGCGTCCTGCAACATCCTCGTGCGTCTTTACTGGCTACGTCAGGGTAGCGTGGTGGCAGGTTCTGTGAAAACTGATACCCAAAGAAAGTGCCCAGGCTTCCAGTTATTTTCTTTGCTGGACTGGCGAGTTCACATGTTTAGCTACCTTGTACATTTTTCTCTATTTTTTTTTTTTTAAGAGCCTTTGATCGGTTTGTCAGCAAGAAGGTGTTCGCTCGTGACGCGAGCAGAGAGCTTTCAGTCTGTCCTTGGATAAGGGGTGTCTGCTTGCAATGGATGAGAAACTGCTTCCTGTTAACCAGTTACCACCCCTCTGGGGTGACAGCAGAAGGCTGAGCAGTGGAGAAACTGTACAGCCACGATCATTCCTTGCCCATGGTGCAGGTTGCTAAAAAAATCAGTCTTACCTTGTTTCTTGTGTAGTCCTACGTCCTGCGAGTTAAGTACTAAGCAAGGGGTCTCGAGGATACTGAAGTGTTTGCAAAGAAACCTTGCACGACCTCTGAGCTGTTTCAATACAAGATTCTGTAAACATGGTTTTTAATACAAAAAATATTTATTGCACTTGTGTTGCTCATTGCGTTGTCCTCGTTGTTGCATGAGTAACTCCATCCTACCACGTGTTTCCTCGCCTCCTCTTGCCTCCTTGGCGAGGTGGAAGAAAGGGAGTTTATTGCCTCACTTTGTAATTCAGCGCTGCTGCCCAAAGTATAAAAACCGTATTGCTGCAGTCATGTGTGAAGCCCAGAAAAAGTGGCACAGCCGTTTATTTTTGTCATAAGTTATTGATTGCTGGCTTTTCATAAATGGGGATAAAAAAATAAACTGTGTTCAATTGAAACGGGTTGTGTTTTGTGTAGTTTTACCTACACCTTCACCTCGATCCAGTCAAAAATCGCATTGTCAATCACCTTTATCTGGAATTGGTATTAAGTCAGATCTAGAACTGAATTCTTGAAAGCAGGGGTGCTTGGGTAGTGATCTGAGGCTCTCAGCCAGCAGCGTCTTGAAAAATCCCCAGGTGTCAACATCAATAACCCTTTGTGTGGCGTGTGACTTTGAGCAATGTCAGGACTGTTTATTGTAGCAGGAGTCACCCTTCTTCCAGTCCATGTCTTTGCTCCAGCTGAGCTTCAATGATTATGATGGTTGATTATGCAGTAAAGCATCAATTCAGTAATGGCATGGCACTGCCAAGGGTTCTGATTAAAGGTTTGTATGCTAGAAAAAGTGACCGTGTGTAGATTTAATGAAGGATTTGTCATTAAATTTGGAGTTTAAGGTTTATGCTCATTTAAAAATCCAGGTATTCGTATATCAATCGAATGCTGTTCTGCACCTTGCATCTTGTTTGATGACCTTGTGCAAGGTCACACCCACATTTTAACATAGAGAGGGGCAGCAACTCGCCAGAGTAGACCTGTTTCAAGCTGTGAGTGCAAGAACACGTAATATTTTCGACTTCTACCATGTCCATTGAAGGTAAACGGCACAAATCTCAAGCTGCCGTTAAAACAAACTGCTGAATTAGTGGAATACATGTAGTGAATTATGTTACTTGCCAAAATATAAGCAGGATATTTTAAAAGGTTTCTTGAGTGGAAACTCAAGAAGGCAGGAAGTTAATTAACTCAATACAGTGCCTAGAGAAAGTCTGCTCATCCTTTCCAAAGTAACACATTTTGTGGCCTAACAGCCTGAAGTCAAGACATTTAATCAGAATTTATTTCACCTTTGTTTACACATTGTGACACACAACCTCCAAGAGGAAAACAAATGCTCAGACATTCTGAAAAGTGATTACAACTGTAAACCTAGAACAAGGGGTTGGATAAGCGAACCCACCCGAGTTTGTACTTGGCGGAAGTGCCTTTTGCTTGCATTTCAGACATAACTTTGATTGGACAGATCTACAGGAAATAATTGTATTAATGACAGTCTTGACTGTGTCAAGGGACATTTAAAGGCTTTGAAATCTTTTTAACAGCCATCTCCTGCTCTGTCGTTCCTCAGCTTTTCCCTGGAGGTCGGTTGGCAGCTTCTTGTTGCCCCTAGTCATCTCTGTAGATTGGGATGCAGTACCCAACAGAGGAGCCTGATACTAGGAACAGCTGAGTTTATTCTAAAATCATCAGAATCACTCCATTTGAACACAGGTGGAATTTGCTTGTTGTGTGACTTGGAAGTGGTTACACCAGAGGTACTTTACAATTGCTAATGCAAAGCAGTTTGTATACTTATCAAAACCAATTTTTCTATGAATCTCAACATTTTCACTTGGAAGTTACAACATTTTGTAAATAAAAGTAAAATAAATTGTGATTTTAATGGCTTGATTTCAGGTTATTCAACTTTAGGTACGGTACAAACATAGTCCCTTTCTGAATTACTGTATTGCAAATTAACTGCTTTGTCATTAGCAGCTTGAAAACATTAGTGACATTTTAGAGACAGGGTTTAGTTAGTGCTGCATTGCTCATCAACATGGGTTTTCAAGATGTTACAGTCAAACAAAAAACATCTCAACAATAGGCTCCAGGTGGGTCATGACACCTTAACACCCTATAATCCACCTACCGTCTCCAGAGCTCTGCTTGTAATGCTTGATGGCAGATTGTTTTCAGGCTGAGCACATCCTAGGACCTTGCCTGCTGTCCTTCCTGTGGAGTTGTCAACAGACAACTCAAGAAACTGGAAACGCACAAACACCTTTTCACCAGGTCAAGCTGTATGTCAACCAGGGTTCTGGGGAATCCAGGCCATAGAATTGAGACAACAGAAACAAGGTACAACGGCTATTTATTTCTACAAGAAATGACTGTAATGTGCAGGAAGGGTACTTTTTACAAAAGGAGGTCATCTAAACAGGACATCATCAAAAACCTAGACAGTTCAATTTTATGTTTCAGTCAGGCTTTCTGCAATTTTAATAAAACCAGCGGCATTGAGGCCTAAAACTAAGTTTTCCACGGTGGCTTGGCTGCCCTCCCGGTCCTGCCAGGCCACTAACAGCAGCTTGGCCTGCATTTCCACATCCTCGCTGTCCGTCTCGATCTCCCGCACCTCCACCGCCTTCATCTCCAGCTGACCGGCCAGTGTCTTCCACTGCGCTCCCAGCTTACTCGCAATATCGTCCATCTGCTGGTTAGTCACCAGCTTGTGCTGGACGTCCGGACCTGCACCGGCCAAACACAACAAGCAATGAGCAGGATGACCAGTTTTGCCCCTGATCGGTTTCCATCTTCGGCATTGATGAATAAATGTTCAGGATTTTCAGAAACATTTCCTCGAAAAGACTAATAGGACTTCATACAGTGTGAATTTAGTTTCGAATGCAGTTAATTTTAACACGCTCACTTTCTCCATACAAACAGGTCTGGTCTAAGTCCATTAGAGCTGTAATCATTGATGTGATTACAGATCTAATGGATATACATAGATTATAAAAAAAAATATATTCCTTTTCACAAACCTTTTGAAGAAAGCCAGCGACTTTCCTTTATGGAAAATATAAGCATGTTTCTGTGCACATTAACAGGAAACAACACTCGAACTTACTTTCATTGCTCTCTTTAAGCAAAGCGTCATCATTGTCATCATCCTCTTCGCCCGTCTTGATCTCTTCAGAGGGAGGCTGTAATAAAATAACCTGTTTAACATCAAGATGAATAAAAACCACACAGAAAAAGTAAAAGACGCTTAGCGCAATCTCTGGATATCACTCAAGAACAGTATTTTCAAACGGAGAAAAGAGCAAAGAAGAGTTGGATATATTATGCTGCAGCACGAAGTGAGTTCTGGATAAAGCAACTTAGAAGAAGCAATGCCTGGTTAAAAATAAAGAATGTGACATTAGGAATAAACGGGCCTTATGAGGAGCCCTTAGCACAGTATTAATGGAGGACAACTTAAAGTTGTGTGAATCGAATGTCTCCCTGTTATTTCTTCAAGAGGAGGATCCAAATTCTAGACTTTAAAGTACCAAAAATCAACTAAAATATTGTTTGGACAGGGCACAAAAATTGTATACAAAAGGCTTAGCCTAGACTTTGTGTTCATTCTTTTTTAAAAATTCAAAATCACTTTATGGTAAACAACTGTTTTTCTCAAAAGCCGTTGTTGAACAACTGTACAAAAGTGGGCCGTTGTGACAGTTGGATAACAATACTTCTGGCAAATACAAATATTTTGTGCTGTATAAAAGGACGAAAAACATTCAAGAAATGTGCAGGAATTGGGAAAAGTAAATATCAATTTAAATAAGTATTTTTCCCTTTATCATAAAATCTATTTTTTTACATTTACAGGATAAAACCCGACAAAAAATCCCCAGATTGTTTTCTGTAAAATAAACAAAACTTCTGGAACAGCAAAGGAAGTGCTGCTGCTTAGGCAAGGACAAACAACAGCATGAAAGGCAGTGGGTGCAACGCAGAGAGGGACCATGGGGGGGCGCCAGAGAGCAGTACTCACAGGCAACTCCTTAGCCAGCTTGATGACCATGTTCTCCAGGTAGTCAGGCAGGTTTTTGAACTGCTGGTTCGTGGGCTGGAAGAAGTGGGGGCTCCTGCGCGCCAGCAGCCGGAGAGCTCTCCAGCCGTAGTTGGAGTTCTTCACCACCCTGGGCGAGGAGAGCAGGGTTACAGAAGGAGTCGGCTGCCGTGGTATAAAGTCAGGCCTCTGCCTGCCACGCACACAGGCAAGCATCTCAGTGGAAACAAGATACAGCATCTGCTAACTGGGACAAACTCAAACTCAAAAAACTCTTAACTGCACGGAACCGACATTTTTCTACACGCACACTGCACATACGCTTGCATGTTACACACAGAGTGATGGTGCACTTAAGATATTTCCTTACAGGTATTCAAGGTACAAGTGCAGTTTTTTTTTTTTAAGATGCTTTTGTCTAAACTTTTAAGTAAAGGGATTGGCGACCTGAAGGTATCAGAAAAGACCCTGTTAAAAAACAGAAAACGGCACAATACTCTCAAAAAGGCAGATTCATACTTGTACTCATCTTCAACCATGTTTGCTGGATCTGCCTGTTCAATGGCCTCCTCAAAAAACTCCTCCAGCGAGGGCATAAACTCTCTGGGAAAAAAAGAAGACAAGAGCCCAATCAATTATGCTGGTATGTACCAATCCTACTATTTCTAATGCTGCTTTTTGTTAATCTATCGATTTTATTGACATATGATTTACATTTACATTTACATCACATTAAGTAGGGAACTGTGTCAGCATGCGTAGGCTGCAGAGGAACAGGCAAAGGTTTATTCCATGCCGATGTCCTCACTGAGGGGTTTCGGAATTCCTATCACAGTAAGACGTCTGAACCCAGATGACCTGAAGCTAGGATCACACTTTCCCCCTTCTCTCGATGACAGACTCGTTTCTTTCTAATCCTGTCTATTCATTGGCAGGTTTTGACTTCACACCTCTCCTCCAGTTCTCCCTTCTCCTGTGTTCTCCCCTGCTTTATTAACTGCCTGTATCCCTCTCTCCCTCACACCTGAAGAAGGTTCCACAACTGAATCCTTGTGTCTCTATTCTTCTCCTTTCAGCCTGGACTTAACCTTTACTTGTTCCTATCCAGCACAGTTAGTTATTTCACATCTCTGCACCCCTGGAAACAGTCAGTGACACACAGAGATTAAGGACCGACTGCCGAAAAAAGGTTTCCCCAACCACACACCCTTCTGAATCAAGGCAGGTACCTGCTGTCGGACTTGCAGGCTTCCATATTGTCTTGGTTGAGATTCCAGAGGCGAGTCAGCTCATCACTGTAAGAGACAACACTGCCAGGTTCAGATGGAGAAATGAGAAGGTAACAGTGTGGCCCAGAAGGGCAGCCTAAGACCAGCCTGAGAATGTGCCAGCCTCCCACTGGAACCACAGCCTCTGAGCAGCTAGAAGGCTTCCAGAAGATCACCCGGCAGCTGCTGCCGAACCTTCCACTTGGCACAAAAGAGCTCTTTGCTACCGAGTCATGTTTCCAGGCTTCGGCAATTGCCCGTGAAAGCAGATTATTTCATCTAACTGTTATGAAATCCACGATTACTTCACAGTCCATTGAGAACTTTTTGGTTCATAGTGGCAAAGCTGTTTGATGGCAGCCATCTAGCTGTAAGACACCTCGGGTTCCGGGCATTCCAGCTCAGCCAGAACTGTGGCTTACTTCCCCATGAAGATCTTCCTGTCCGGGCCCTTCCCCAGGAAGTCCTCTGGAGCCTGCCTCTTCCTTGTGGGCCGAATCGGCTTCATCTCTGCTGGCCTGGGTGGAAACGCACTGGTCAAAAACCGCACTAATAGGACTCTTCCCAGTCAGTGAGATGGACAGTTTTGAACATGCACTGTGTAAAAGGTAAGCCATCAGCGAGAGGAAACACTTTGTTCTGCACTAGCACATGGGCAAAACAGCATCCCAAACTTCACATAAAGCAAAATGTGATCTAATGTGTCGTTTAGAATGTTCAGTTGTCATGCAAAGTGGAAGCACAAACACAAGGTGTAAAGCAGGGGTGTGTCTTGTTTTTTTTAAGTCCTGAGTAGTCAAAATTAACAATTTCTAAATTAGATAAATATCTAGATTTTTTTTCAAGCATTTTACAATTGATGACACAAGACACTCACTTCATTAAAGGAACAATAACCTATAAATCACCCCAGACCTGGCTAGAGGTGTTACAATTGCACAGCTCATTAAATAATCAGACCCACGATATGACTGAGAACAAGATCAGAAGACACTGAGCTCTCCAGGGTGTAAAGTAAAAAAATGCCAAGTAACATTTCCAAAATCTATCTGTAACTATTAAGTGGCAAATGGGTACCTCTCTTTTACAAAACTCGGGCAGCCTTCATTTTTCCATGCGTTCCAGTTTTCTTCAGTGTTTAGAATGTGCTGTGAAAGATGAAATCGTTGGTTGAAGATTGCAAAGACGAGCTCTAAAATACAGCAACCTTTAAAAGAGTGAGAAACACACACACACACTTACCTCTACCATCGACGCAAACTTGTCCCCATCAGGTGGAGTCTCTCTGAGAAGCTAGCACAAAACAAAAAACATGAAACAATACAGCTGGAGCACATTATACTATAATGCATATCTTCTGATTTGTTTATGAACAATGCTTGCTGCAAGAATTTTTATGGATCTACAAGGGCAATAAACTGAAACTGAGCAGAATTCAAAGGAAAGACAGCCGTGATAACCCAGTAAACATTTATGTTGTGGACTTGCCTCTTAAGCAAACTTTCTCATGTTCAGCAGGCAATAAGCAGACATCTTGGCTTTGCTACAAGTCATTCTGTTAACGGTTTCTTACAGAAAGCGAACAGACGGGTCTCTGAAGACATTACCTTATTCGGAAAACTAACCTGGTATACAAGTTTTGTTGTGTCTTCCATCCACAAAGACTGCTCATCAGTCAGCACACAACTAGAGCTGCAGAAGGAAAGGGACGTACTATATATCGATCTCATAATCTAATCAAAATAATTTATACATGAACAAAAAAAGTCTGCAAAAAAAAAAACAGTTCTCCATCTAAAGGTTGCAGGCAGACGTTTCACCAATCTTCTGGTCTGGTTCAGAACCACTCACTGGAATGGTAAGTGATTATTCTGGCGAAATTAAAAAGAGCAATCGCGCACGAATCCTGAATTCCCTGTTAATAAGTCACAAACAATACTGGAAACGACCACGTCCCTGCCTTACCTTTTGAACTTGACCTGCCCCTTCAGATACTGAAAAAGCACTAAATACTGTACAAGGATGTGGCGCCTGAAGTTGCTGTCACTTAGCTGCAGGTCCATCAGCTGTTAAAAATAGAGATGGGGAAAACAATTCTTTAAAGCCTTGGTTAAGAAGGTCAAACCATTCAGATTCTGTTTCCTCCTCAAAAACTACTAAGTACTATAGATAAAGCCATCTGGACAGGTAAAGTACGTTGGTAAAAGAAAAACAAGTTAAATAAAATGGGCCCTGGAACATAGTTTATTTTTATTCACTAACTACAACAAACTCATAAAGCTATCATAGGGAAAATGGCTTTTATAGATAATGCAGACGAAATACAATGTTTACTTCAATGAAGCATCAATGTAGGACCATGCAATAACACTTCCATCAATAATTATCTAAAGAGGAGTTCTGTAGCGATCAGACACTCCTGCCCAAACAATTGGGTCTCTCCACAGATCTGTCTGTTGTCCACAGCCATTACCTATGGGTGCTACACTCACTAATATCTAGCAGGATGGTTCTTGATTTTCATTCAATATGCTAATCACCACCTGTGCCCAATAAACTCTCACTAAAGTGATCTACTGCTTCTGCATCAGCTGTGGTCACTTGAGTGCATCAGCCAGTCATGAATGATGAGTTGAAATAAATGACACCAAACACATTTAATCAATATCCAGTATCAGTATATTTTGCTGCAAACATACTGGGACAAACAGTATACTATATAAGCTCTACACACAGTCAGCCAGTTTCACCAACTGTTACGAAGACTCAGCTCTCCGAGCAACAGTCCTGTAACTGCTCCGTAGAGAGCACAGCGTCTGTCACTGATCTTTCTCTCACCACGCGACACTCACCCTTTCACTCGTCAGGAATTTAGCGAAGTAAACGTGCTCTCCTCCCGAAGTTCTCAGTTCTTCCATCTTCTTCTTAGAAGCCTGCGTGTCGTCCAGCTTGTAGCTTTTAAACACAGCCAGAGTTTCATCTGAAAACTACACAAGAGCAAAGGATATATACTGTATAGTTATATAGTTAAAAAATTAAGCTAAAATTAGACAGCTACAAAAATAATTCATTTCCCTTTCATTTCTTGATGTATAAAACTGAAAAATACAAATCAGAAAACTGAAACAATGAACAATAAAAGGTTAAAATTATTTATTCACATCCTGATGTCTCTCTCCAAACTGGTATACTCAAATTAGATAACACAGCTCATGCCTAATGGCCAGGTTTAGTTTGAAAACAGGTCATTGTGAAACATGCTCTTTGAAAGAAACTAAGAAGCTGAGTGTGGACGTTAATGGTCTATGTCCTCATATTCTCATCTTCAAATAAAACCGACTAGCCACTGCTCTTATCTGGGTTTTAAGAGTGTCATTTTACTGGTTAAAGACAACCTATGGTATGTAATGGATTGCTGCAGACGCCAGCTGGCTTAGATGGGTCTACACGACACTTCTCAATAACAGGCCCTGATGTCAACAGGTTATATGTGCTTGTCTGTGGGTGCACACTTTAATCCTGGAAGGAGATACCTTTAGGAATGTCATCCAGGAGAATTTGTCATAGCACTGTACTGGGTTCCTGAAGTAGTCCTGAAGTGTCCAGAACTTCCTGTACAAGTTGTAATCAATCGGAACAGAGCTGGAAAAGACGAATAACACCACTCACACCCAGAACTGCAAAACAGAGAAGTGTGTTTCACATCCAAAACCTAGAGAATTAGAAGTGGCTTTCCCCTCATTTACATCTGAAACAGCCTGGACCTGCAGACTAAGACATAATGTCCTCTGGCACTGTGAGACAGAGCCCGTCTTCATAGTGCCATTTAGAAACAGCAGCCTTTATGTGCTGATGATGGAGCAAAGGCTCTCAGAAGGTGGTCTGGAGATACTCAATTCTGATGGCAGGCAGCCTTCAAAACAGTTCTAACACCAGGCACACTATGAGCAGCACAGCGTTTATGTTTTACAACCCAGGTCAAGTCACAACATGGACAAATGACAAGAAGAAACACAAGGTTTTGGATGTTCAGCCTAGCTCAGGTGTCCAGTTTGACGAAGAGGATCGACTTTCCAGCGTGGAATTAATCTTCACTTGTTCGCCAGCAGCTGACACAGCTCCCCACTCGAGCTTCGGTCAGAAACACCGGTCTGGTTCCGTCTCTTACCAAGGAGTGGGCGCCTCCTCATCGCCCATCTCGCCCTCCTCCACTTCCATGCCTTCATCCTTCTCCTCAGTGTGCTGGAACGACAGCAACATCATCTCTGAGAAACCCCCTGCCAGCGAGCCCCATGCACCACACATCCGTCTGTTAATCATCAAAACCTTTTCATAAACATGACTTCTTTCTGAAAATAAGATCCGGGACAGATTCAACAGGCCCGTTTCTTTTTCAGAAAGGTAGCCAAGACACACTAGGAAGCTTGACGTCTGAGTTAATTACAGTGCATTTTCTTATTCCGTTAACTCACCTTCTGTCCTAACGTGCTCTCCTGTTCATTTTTATTGAATACGGTGTAGTTATCTAGGTTAAATTGGCTCTGCAAGTTAAGACCTAGAAATGCAGAAAAAGAAAAATTAACTGAAGTCCGGTTAAAATGTCTCACTTGGCGCACAAACCCAATGAAACCCAATGTTTACAAAACAACTTAAGTTCAGAAAGCTCAATCTGTATCACAAACCAAAGCTGACAGAAAGCAGCCAGATGGCTTTGATAATCACATATGATAATCAGCATGATAATCAGAGACAGCGAGAGAAAGTGCAGGCATTCACTGGACACAGAGGAGGGATTCATGTTGTTTATATTAGCTGATTACTATACATTTATTATTACAGTTGTTTACTTACATCTGTGTTATTTTAATTAACTTAGAATAAATGTGTTAGTATGTTAATTTTCATACAAGGGACAGTTACTACTATCTTTTAACCCTACATACTATAGACTGCAGTACCTTATGCGACAATACTGGGGTGAAATTGGCTGCATCTCAATTTGATTACTCGCTATGAACACTCATCAATGTTGAGACGCTACTGTAGTTTTAAGTGACGTCTCCTCAAAAACTGATCTAAAGATCTGAGATTAATCGTGGCAATTTAAGGTTCGTTCACCTGACTTCTCAGACAGAGGGAAGAGTCTGGCCAAGAAGAGCTGGATCCGCCCACAGAACACCGTGTTCTGCGACTTGGACAGCCTCCGCAGGAGGTCTGCGGGAGTCAGAGAAAAGTCATCACAATTCATATCTTAAAAGGAAACTGGCAAGAAAATGTGTCCTAGTGTTGAACTGTTGTCAATTCTAGTGAAAAGTTTAATGCAAAAAAAATTAAAAGGTGAGACATTTGTTGTATAGCTGTCTAAGTCAAATAAGAAGGGTTGCAAACAACAAAAGGTCAGTCAGAGCATCTAGTTTTTTTTTTGGTTTCTTGATTTTAACTGTTATAAGGGTCTCATCCAGCCACTGTGTAAAAGAAGCCAGATGTTCTGCTTCAGCAGCACAGCTGGGTAGCTTGTTCCAGATTCCCGCGACCCTGGGTATAAAAGAGCCTCACTGTTCCTGATTTTATAGGAAAAACCCAATAAAGTTAAAAAAAACCCACTAAACTGGCTTCTTTCTTTTTTAACATCACTTACCATTACACATTCTCAGCAAGTAGTTTTTCCCAGCAGAGTAAAAGGAATTCTGTACCCAATCAAACAAAACAAATATGATATAAGTCAGCAGAAAAAGCCGCTTTAACCCAATATTCAACAGGCGATATTTCTTCCCAATACCCTACAAAAACATGACATTTTAATGCTATACTGACATTCTACTAACTTTAGAATATTACACTCATGGGAGGATGATTTTGATCTCTCAGTATTTACCCCTGTGTAAGCATTACCACGGGCAGCGACTGTGACCTGTTAAGTGTTTCGGCAAACAGATGAATTTTCTAATTTCTGACTTTCCTCATAGAGACAGAAGGTTTCAGAAGCGGAGCAAAGAGTCACCTCTGTGCTTTCAAAATAGCTCGTGCTGTGGACCGCACTTGGCAAGCTGTACTTACGGATTTCCACGTTGAAACATTTTCTTCAACAAAAGTGAAGATTTTATCGCACTGGTCCAGTGGAAGACAGTCCAGGACATCTCCCAGCAGCAGGAAAGGAGTTGTTGCCGAGCAAATACCTTTGATTACAGGGGGGACACAGAAGGCAAGGCTGACACTGAAGCTCATCTGGCACCCCGAGTGTCAGAAGGATCATTTTAAATTCCATCAGTCCAGCCATTTATTAAACGCTTGATCCAAATCAAGATCACAGGGGAGCCGAAGCCTATCCTGGCAAACAACGGGTGCAAGGCAGGGTACACCCTGGATGGGACGCCAGTCCAGCGAAGGGAAGAGACAGACATGCACAGATTCACACCAGGAGCAGTTTTCCCCAAGATGCCAATTAACCTGCCAAGAAGTCTTTGGACTGTGGGAAGAAACCGGAGAAACCCATCCAAACACAGGGAGAACATACAAACTCCACACAGACAGCACCCCAGGTGTGGAATTGAACCCAGGGCCCCAGCGCTGTGAGGCAGCCATGCTGGCCACTGCGGTACTGCGCCATCCTTGTTTTGTCATTTGAAGCTGACAAATTGAACCATCAACCTCAAAGCACATGGTACAAGAAGACAAATCACGACAAATGCGACAAATCACACATAACATCAGGCTGAGAATTGAGACCTGTTCTACATCCTCAAAAAATAAATGCTCCCACTTAATCCCAAAATAATGACTAAGAACCAGTTACTGACGTTTGAAATGAATTTACCGGTGTAGGTCAAGAGTAAAGTAAATCTTATCCAGTTACATAATGGCACTTTTACGAAGTCAAGGTAGTACTTTTCTCATCAAATGCAAAGAACAGCCATCAAGACTGTTTACTGTTCAAAATGTCCAGTGTCCTGTGAGGCTTTCACCTGCTATTCAGTCTTTAAATGAAACCTGTCATGATCTTCCTAATAACTCACCTTCTGTAACTCCATCAATGCTGAGATAGATCAGAGCCAGGAAGTCTTCACAGCTAGCTTTTCGTTTTATCTGCAAAAGAACGGCAGTTTAATTCCACTGACAAATCCCCAGTTGCTGGAATGACGCTCCCTGCGTGTACCCAGCGTTGTGATGTGGGGACAATGCACCCAAGGTGTGGTAGATGTGGATCATGTATTTCAAGGATCTAAATATGACACTTCTGTAAATATATATCAAAGCTAAGAAAGAGGTGTTATTAAGACCAGTAGGACCCATCCGCGTGGGTCCTAATGCCCCTGTATAGTAATGGGGACACTAAACTGTAAAAAGGCACCGTCCTTCAAATAAGACATAAAACCGAGGTGCTGACTCTCTGTGGGCATTAAAAATCCTAGGGTGTTTCTCAAAAAGAGTAGGGGTGTTACCCCTGTGTCCTGGTCAAATTTTCCCCAGGCCTTTACAAATCATTGCCTCCTAATAATCCCCCTCTCTGAACTGGCTTCATCCCTCTGCTCTCCTCCCCACTGGGAGCTGGTGTGTGGGGAGCGGACTGGCGCATCATCCAGGTGGGGCTGCACACTGGTGGGGGTGGAGAGGATTACCTGTAAAGCACTTTGAGTGGAGTGTCCAGAAAAGTTCCATAGGAGTTAAAGGATTTACAGTAATTAAAATACCATTAAACACAAGCAGAACTTCTGTTGTTTAAGACAATCTTTATGACGACTTACAATTTCTCCCTCGAGAACCCAGCGCAGAGCCTGGTCAAGTGTGGTTTTCTTCTCTGTCTCACTAACAGGTCAAACAGAAGAGGAAGCAATTTATTCATCATGCACTTTAAATACAGGTTTTATGCCAAGCACCGTTTTCACATTGCTGCTGAACACCCTATAGAAAAACCACGACAGCCCCTTAGACGTTCTTGTCAAGCTGTGGGAAAATGCACTTACTTTCCAGGGAGCTGATTAAATGTGTTGATTAAGGGCTTGACAGTTTTGCTGTCCAAGGTACTTCTGATTGTACTCTATTGGAAAAAAAACAACAACAAAGAATAAATTAAAAACACAGGTTCACAAAAGACATTGGCCATATGATCTTAAGTCACTCCACATTTGGATTGCTTTTGAGAGTTTAGTTTAGCACAGCAAAACATAGCACGTGCTATGGTGTTTTAGGAGGATAATCCTTTAAAAGCAAGACCAGAGGCACATGCTCTAGCTTATTTTACGATACAACATACGTCTGGACAGCAATGCTTTGAATGCCTCGCCGGAGACTCTTCAAACACGCCCCACAGTGGTTTCAGTCACCTCCCGAGACGGGAATTTACGCCATAGCCGACAGGACCTTCACAAGCAAAGCTGTTTTCCGCTTGTACTAGCCTGACTTGACCAAGAACGGATAAATTGGCAAATTCCTTTGCTATTTCAATCACGTTCATTTAAACTCTTCACGTACATCCTCCACCGCAGAACGAGACGAGAGCCGCAGTACGCAACACAAAAGCCTTCCCCTACACACGGGTTGCACGTTAAAATCCCTTTTGTTCTCGTCCCGAGCCACGGTTTCATCAACTCTGCAACTGCACTAACACAGTTTCTTACCGCAAATCTCTCTTTGGCATCATTAAAGTTAAACACGGACGGCGACATCTTCTCGGGAGCCTGCTACAACCCCGCTTCCGTCAGTGAGCAAAACAAACCGGAAACCAGTGACAAAAAAGGCCATAGAGATCCTCTAACGGATGGCTAGAGTTCCCGTCGTCGGATTTGTACGTAGCTTTGTGGCGCCATCTTGGGAGGGAGGAAGTAAATGTTTCACACTTTCGGTGAGTGTGTGTGCACTGTAATGGAGCCTATGATAACAAAGATAAGAGGAAAGATCAGGAAAACGTCCGTTTATTCATTTATTTCGATTATTATCACCGTAATTGTTTTTAAAAAATGGCGACAAGAGTTTGTTTAATGCACAAAAATGCACTTTAGTTAATTTCAGTGAAATAAACTAAACGAAATGACAAACTGATCTAAACAAATGAAACAGTATGTACTGTACAGACTGCTTTATGTAATATTATTGTAATATACACACGCAATAAACGTAATTCTAAGAATCCTTTGTAACCTACTGGAAGGTACGAGTATTCCAAACATTGCTTAAATAATCATTCGTTGTTTGTCGCGTCTTTCGTCGACGATCTTAAAATCCAGTTGCTGAGGGAGACACCCTACTTTTTTCAAGAAACTGCTGTTTGGATGCCGGATGAGATTCCCACATGACTCTCTACTACCACCCAAACGTGATAAATACATCGAATGGGACACCGTCCTCCAGCTTCTAACCTTCCTCCTGTTTTATATTTTTCATTATATATTTATTTATTTATTATATATATATTTTAGTTTTATATTTTTTATTTTAAAAACTATCACTCTGCACGTCTAGTGTAGGATACTGCGAGGCTACATACAGATGCACGAAAAGTTTTATTTTTGTTGTTGCTGTACTACATTCAATACTGAATATTTGTCATTTATTAACATTTCTGCACGTTGCCAGAAAGCTGAAAAGATTTACTTTTCGGCTATGGATCTTCTTCAAGTGGGTTCACAGCTGAAACGTTGTGTTTCTTCTCTTTTCAGCAGGAATAAACCTTTACTTGTTCCTCTGCAGCCTACGCACGCTAACGATTCCACAGTGTGACTTTTTATCCTCGAACTATTCCACGATTGTGTTCTCCAGTATCCTGTCTAGGACACTACCCACACAAACCTGTGAATGTAGGAGGCAGTGTTTGACCTAGAGGTGGCCTGTAGAGTTGAGAAAATATTTAGCTGAAATATATGATGACAGTTATTTTTAGCTCTTTCTGTTTGTCCATTAAAACCACAAAACCATAAAGTAGACTGACGGCCTTTGAAATTTGCTTTGAAAGCAGCCTGATGACCACCAGTGGCTTAAAAACACCAGTTCTTCTGTGCACCCTTTTATTAAAAGACCTTGAAAAGAAAGTTACCCCTGAGCAGCTAAAGAAATAACGGCAGAGGGTGGAGTGGAGGTTAGCGCCCCCATCTTACAGTACCGGGGTCTCAGTTTCCATTCCAGCTGTGTGTATCTGTCTGTGTGGAGCTTGCAAGTCCAAGTGCGATTTCTCTGAATGTGCGTGACACATGGAACACTCTTCTCTTGTGTTTAGCTTGTCTGATAGTTCAACTTTAATAACTTGGGGCGGAGCTGTGGCTCAGGATCTGCGCCTGTGACTGGAAGGTTGCTGGTTCAAATCCTGTGACAGAGGAATCCTACTCCATTGGGCTCCTGAGCAAGACCCTTAACCCCAGCTGCTCCAGGGGCGCCGTATAAATGACTGACCCTGTGCTCTGACCCCCAGCTTCTCTCCCTGTCTGTGTGTCTCATGGAGAGCAAACTGGGGTATGCGAAAAGACAAATTCCTAATACAAGAAATTGTAAAGGGTTAATAAAGTAATGTAAAAAAAAAAACTGAGGGCACATGGAATGCAAACCCTTTTGTGTTAGAGGGTTGAAGTTGGCCAGTGAGCGAGTCTGCTCTGACCTCCCGTTGAAGAATGTCTGCTATAACAAAAAACAAACAAACGGAGATTGCTACCTTGGGTCTGCATGACACAGAAAACCTGTGTGGGACATTTCATTTTTGTATTCTGGATAGTGATACAGCTGATCAGTACCTTTGATAAATGCCCCAAAAAGGCCGGCTTCAGTTCTGGCACAGTTCTGTCATCTAGTACATGACAAGCACTCCTGGAGCCTGGTGACAATCCAAATCGTTCACTCAAATATGCTTTCATACCAGTTCGTATTCTCCCCAAAAAAACAACAATAAAAAAAATCATGAGATATTTTTCCCTTTTTATTTCAATTCTTTACTTAACCAGATAAATGAAAGGACAAGAAAGTTCTCCATTAAAACAATGACCTTAAAAATTACACATTTACTGGATCACAGAATTCCAAAAAGGATTTGAACCCACAACCCTCTGGTCTTTGTGTCAAAGCCCTAAACACAAGTCCATGCTGCTGCTTCAGTGGTAATATTAAGAGCATCCGAATTCCTATTTGTAGTTTCTTTTCAGGAATGCAACTTGAGTATATTATTTCTGGGACAGGGATGAACAAACTGACTGCTTTGTTTATAGAAAGCAGGCAAAGTGCAAGAAGCAGACTGATGAAGTTCACAGAGTGGTGTATTCCTGAGGTGTACAACGTGTGGCTTAAGCATTGCTTCAGCTGTGCGTAGTCCTCAGTCATCTGTGCCCTCAGATTCTGCATCCTTGTCCCCATAATCTCACACGGGAGGTGTCCCTCACAGAGATGATGATGCTGTTCTAAGTGCTGACCAGCTTCCTCCACAGATCCAGAAGTCTGACCATCGTGTTTACTAGGAAGAAAAGGCACAGCAGTCCACATGTGTCTGATCAGTGCCCGCTCTGAGTAATCCTTGAAGGAGTGGATTCTGTTAGTGGGGCAAAACCTTGTGGGTCACTGTCGGGCAATGGACACAGTGTGGAGGTGGGCATCATCCTGTTACAGTACACGAACTGGGCCATCATTGATATGAAGGGAATGATGAGGTTTGAATGCTGTACGATTCATGAAAACTGGCTGCCAAGAGGCGTTTACAAATGTAGGATCCTTGTCATGCATCTTTTGTTTTGGGACAGTGAAATGTCCCAAATGTATTATCTGAAATTAACCGAATTTCAATTCAATGATATTGAATATTTAAGTAAAATATACAGTATAGCTTTTTCAGAGAGAAAATCTATTGCTGTTGTATTTTCTATTTGTGTTATATTCATTTTCCACAGTTCCATCAGAAGATCAGCGGTGGTACTATTTGAGCATTGTTGACAACAGTAAACTCGTGTCATTGGTGGTGCTTTTGTAAAGGGAGACCAACCCTTCACAGCTTCTTTCTGGAGTTTTATTCAACAACACCAATACGGTTATTTAAAATGTTCGTTCATACTGTTGAACAAATTAAAGTATTTTTGTTTTAATCCCTATTCCTCCAAATTTATTTTTATCTCGATATGAAGTCACAGTTTTCTTGTTTCTTGTACTTCCCAGGCTGCATATCGATATAGCAAAAAAAAAAAACTTTATCCGAGGATTTTATTTTGAAGTACAAAACAGCAAATCTGAAGAGAGTTAAAGAAGTGTTTATTAAGGCACAACTTTGTGCTTTCTGAGATACACAGGAACATGTAAAGCAGTATGGCAAGATTGTGATATCAAAGTAGGATTAGAAAGGTTTAACTGCTACATGACCAGTGTAACACACACATATCACCAGATTCTCAGTGCTTCACTGCTATCATAAACCAGTTAAAAAGGTCTGTTCTAAAATATTTAGAAAGGTATGCTACCCTCAGCCTGCAAGCAGACTTGAAATAACCAAAGTTACAAAGAAAAGATCTAACTGAAGTAATAAGGTTCGCATTGATCTTTTTTTTTTTTATCCTGCCGCGTTTTAATTCACACTAAAACAATTCTGGTGTTTCGCACCGGCTATATAATAACATCAAATCTACAGTAAACAGATCAGCACGAAAATGCACATTTTGAAGGACAAACATCCCATCTGTTCTAAATACCAAACCTTTACTCATCTTTCTACAGTACAATATAAAATAGAAAACGTGGTTACAGTGAGACCTCCAGAGAACATTTAAAAAAACTGTTGTTCCAAATGCAACACTACCGGGATACGATTCATTTTTGTTCTTCATGAAACATTTATCTGCATAATTAATAAAAAAACACTGCTACTTTGTGAATAAACATTAAAGAAGCAGAGTTTGTGAAATAACGTGTACGGTAAAGGATGAGCAGAAAGTAAAGTTATTGGACAGGAGTGCAAAGATCAAGGGCTGTCATCATTGCACAGACAGTGATGCAGTCTTCTGTCCTCTTATAAAATGATACCACATTTCTAGCCTCTCATCTCCAGGGAAGTAGTACAACTACATAAGATCTGCACAGCAATATTCTACCTATGTCTTGTAGGGCTCTATTAGGATCTACAGACCATTTTTAATAAATGAGTGAAAATAATTAAGACAGCAATGCTGATGCTGATGAAGGAGACCTGACCTCTCCATCAGCGCTCAGGCCTGGAGTCAGCAGCTGGTGGAAATGCAGTCTGTATCGTGATCATCTCGCTCGTAGCTTATTGAATGAAGCTGCTGGACGATGTAATCGGCCATCTCTGGTGTTCCTGCAGCAATCACTCTGCGGGACATGAGGTCCAGTGGCCCCCCTGGGAAAAAGAGAATAGTTCAGAAGGCATTCCCACGCCACCCAGCCAGTCTTCCAACTGCTTCTTCCCAGGCAGAGTCATGGGGCAGCCGGAGCTTATCTCAGGCAGGGTGCACCCTGGACACGACATGTATGTTATAATCTTATGTTGTGTGTTGTTCAGAGCCTCACTGCCATTACCAAGAATTATCTGTTGAACCCAGTGTGTCTGATTTATTACTCTTTTCACCAAAGCTGTGCCAAAGAACAAAGAACTCAAGTGCCTCCAATTATACCAACCGCTTGGGTATATTCTTGACTTCAACTTTACAATTCAGGGGAGGAGCGGTGGCTCTGTGGCTCAGGATCTGTGCCTGTGGATGGAAGGTTGCCGGTTCGTATCCCGCAGCCGGCAGAGGAATCCTACCCCCTCGGGCCCCTGAGCAAGGCCCTTCACCCCAGCTGCTCCAGGGGTGCTGTATAAACGGCTGACCCTGCGCTCTGACCCCAAACCTTCTCTCCCTGTCTGTGTGTCTCACGGAGAGCAAGCTGGGGTATAGGAAAAGACAAATTCCTCTTGTATATGGCCAATAAAGTGATCTATTATCTTAAGGTTATTTTATCTACTTATTGATTAATCCGCTCCGCCTCTTCCTGGTAATTCTCTCCATCATAGCCCCCCTATTTGTAACAATATATCTACCTGAGCTTTCTACATTCAGAAATGTTCACATACCAGACCTAGCGCTAAGGGTGACGCGTTCAACAGCTGTCGATATCACATGGTTAAAGGGGGACGGAAATGTTATGGATTTAGAAAATGAATCTTTCAGGTTCGCTCCTGGTCAGAGATGTTTGCTCTGAGCTCAGCTGCTGGTTCCAGCCACTGAGCTCCAGCAACAGCAGCGCTTTGTCCAGCGGCACAATGCAAGCCCTGACGTCACATCCACCAACTGGTACCACTTGTTCATCACAGATAATGGCAGCTTTTCCACTGTTAGCCTCACTATACTTAGGTTTTAACTTAAATGGCATGTAGTTAGTCATTTCTGCCATTTATCTTGACAAGTGATAGTCTTCTAATATAACTCTTGCAACCTTTGATATGTTTATGTAATACCTATTCTCTATTTCACAAACAATATGTCTTCATATGTTTTTTAGATGTGTGTTTTGTTGGTTGTATCCTGCCCAGGGACTGCAGAAGTATATTAGCTCACTCTGATGCAGCCTAAGAACAGTGTACTGTTCCCATTTGATAAACTACTGAAAGCAGAACTGTGCTGGGTCATAATTTGTGTCAAAGCCAAGAGCAGGACAACCCTGAGCTTTAGAATAATGGCGCTGTCGCATCTTCATAGTCACTCAAATCTTTGTGTCCCACTGAGTGCAAATCATTTTACTGAACAATAATTAAAACCACATTCGTAACAGTTTTCCAGGCGCATTACAGTGCCAGTCTGATTAAAGAAGGGGCTGTAATTCCAGCTACCTGCCACTAGAGACTGCCACAGGGCCTTCAATCTTTGTCCACAGTCTCTCAGCAGGTGATGATCTGCTGACCGATTAGAGGCGAAGGGTGTTTCTACATATTCTCGGAAGGGGGTCATTAGGGTTTTTGCATGGTATTTAAAGGGTGTGCACAGTGCTAGTGCTAGATTTTTTATTGTTTTTTTCCTGTTGTCGTGTCCCCAAAAGGCACAAAATAAAGCCTCCTGGACATCCAGTGTCTGCTGGAGGGCAGGGCCTGCCCCGTTTGTTGTCGACACGGCGAGCATCACTGGCCGGGTGATGGCCCGTATCCAGCAGCGACCCTGGACTGCACACATTGCCCACCTGAGGTGTCCATCACAACGCCACCGGCCTCCCTGATGATGACAGCCGCCGCCGCGATGTCCCAGCAGTGAAGCCCGAACTGGTAGTAGGCGTCCGCTGCGCCTGTCGCCACCTGGCACAGAGCCAGGGTGGCACTGCCAATCACACGAATACTGCAGGAGAAAGCAGAGAAACCAGAGCCCTGGGTGATGCCCACTGACCAACGGAGGACGACACTCGACACTTCACGAACACTTCCTCCTGGACTACTGCCTTTAATACGGAGCAATCAGAAAGGTACTTCTCTCGCACACATATTATGCCACCAGAAATAAAACATGTTCTTAAATGTGAATGGAAGCGCACGGCAGATGTACGTTTTGAAGTTGTGCTGAATAACAATGGATAACCATGGGGTACGGAGGGGTTTCCCCACAGGTAAAAGCTCATTCCAGGCGGTAACCTCTCCACCCTCCCCAGCTATCTAGCAGCTAGATCACAGTACCAGCTTGCAGACGATCAATCTTAACTTTGTAACCCAACAGTATTATCCTGGACAAGATGTTATTCGACCACAACAACGAGTGTGATTATACACAGGCTTCATCTGAGATGACGGCTCCCCATGATGTTGCCCAGGGAAGAGCTTCATGCCTAACACATGTGGCTATTTGCCGTTTTCGGTCTGCATCAAGTGACCATTGTGTTTTGTTTTGTGTTTTTGCTGTTGAGGCACTGTTTTGGTGCTCACTGAGGCAATCAGTCTTTTTTCACTTTGTCCCCCGACCCAATGATTCAGCTGCGAGGAAAATCTATGTCAACTATTAACAGAACACTCTCGAAGGTCCAAAACCCCAATGCGAGAGTTTTTCTGTCGAAAACTGCGACTATATACTATCTGTATCGACAGTTTCTTTTATCCATGTCCAAAAAGCACATTGGCTAATTAACGGAATTAAGAGTGTGTAAAAGGATTTTTTTAATCAACCAAGACTCAAGAAAATCAATGGGCTTTTCAGACCCAGGGATGAGACTTGGGGGCTGTGAGATCACATACCGCCATGGCAGCTGGCTGGTAGGTGATGTCGTAGTGGGTTACTACACAACAGTATTTCAAGATGGGTTCTTGTGTACATTTTGTCAGCATTCATGCATTTGTTTGGCCCGGTGGCACTGCTTTTTGGCCAGCTGGCCCAGTTTGCCTGTAAACAACCGCAGAAAACCCTGGCATATTTACAAATTGGTAGCATTTCTCCAAATAACAGCCTAATAAGAAACTTTGATATCTAGTAAGAATCTCTTACCCGTGGGCATGTGCTTTAAGAAGTTTCTCCATGTTTCCTAAAAAAATCTTCAGTGTCTCGGGATCTCTTTTTGCACCAATCTCAGTTAAAATCAGGGCCTTGGATACATCTAGAAGGAATTAAAATATTTTTATTTTATTACCATTCAACATCTAACAGCGCAACAGTTAAACTTAAACTGTAAACTGTTTAGTCACACTAGACTCTTAGTACTTTGTCTGCTCAGATCTAGTTCTCCCTCTTCAGGTAGGGTGCTAGCTTATGATACAGGTAACATGAACTTACTGTATAGTATTGTGGCCTGATACATGAACTTCACTCCTTGTAAAACGGGTATTAAAAAAATAAGACAAACGTGGCCCTCTGCCTACTGATTCACCATTTCAGAAGCTTTGCATGTCACTTTAAAATCCTGCACAAGAACCCCGAGAGAGATAAGTTCTTGACAGGATTGCAGTTGTTTACAAGGAATAGAATTGGAATTTATTTTTTAACAATATACCCTGGTTTAAAACAAATAAACCCCATTGTTTCTTGCCAATTTCTGAATTTGGGTAGAATACACATTGGCAATTTAAAGCAAACTATTCAGCATTCAGCTCTTTGCATTGCTAGACGACAAAATAATATAACATTCGCAACAGTATTCACTGAAAGGGAACCATGAAATCTATTTAAAAAAGAATAAGGATAGTGTCAAAATGGTTATGCTAGGTAATTTGGTCACAAACATGTTACCATTATGTTTGAGTTTGATCACACAGGTTCTGATCTCCATCAGAAGTATTCAAATACAGTAATTACAAAGTGAGGTTTCATTAAGCCAGATATACTCTACGACTGGATTATAATAAAAGACCTATCTAGAAACTGAACACTACAAAATGATCACAAACACGAAATAAGAATCTTTACAAGTATATCTTTTTATGGGATTCTCTTTAAGTAGTTAAGCCAAATTAAGTAGAAATCACAAAATTGCTGTTTGCTAGTCATGAACCACTTTATTCCCAGTATTAACAAAATACAACGCGCAGATTAGTTGAGTGCTCCTAACACTAAAGAGACTATCGCAAACCTCTAATTAAACTGCAAATTTAATATTCTGATTTTTCACGTAATACCGTTACTGTTAAAATGCCTCAGCAGAATACATACTGCATGAAGGCCAGTGAGAGCTGAGTCAGATTTACAACTAAGTGATCTGTAAGCACTTCCACTGTTGTGCTACAATAACGCTGGACTGCTGACGGCGGAGACAGCTGTTGTTGTGTTAGTGCGGCAACACATAAATGACACAGCAACAGTGAGCCATTCACACTGTCTCCAGTGCCTGTGCTGGCTCAGCAATGACGCTGTGCTGTTAGGTGCCACACATGCACATAATGTGAAAAGGAAGAGAATGCCCTGTCAAAGGCAGCTTCGGACTTCAACGCCACACAAAACACTCGTGTATTTTGTTCGTGCATGTTCGAAAAGTGTCTGGTGGAACGTGACATGTATACAAGACAAAACTGAATCGAGGGCGTCTGTATTACTGTAGGGGCTCGTTTGAAGTCCTTTAATGGGGCAGAGAACATCTGAGAGTAAATCAGTTAAAAAAATAATCTAGAGGTACTTTAATGATTAATATTTATACATGGTGTCTTCCACAGAAATCAAAACCTCATACAACATGAGTGCTGCGTTTTCTGAAGAAGGACAGAGTACTCCCGCCACTGCAAAATCAGGGCAGAAATGATCAAACAGCTCATATTCCTGACATTTTAACAAGGCTTTTGAACAAGGAGACTAAAGGCCATTAACTTTACAAGACAAGATAGACCTTTCAGCTTCAGCCTCTCTATGTCAATAAATACAGTAGGCTTTTTAAAATTAAATTAATAATAAATCATTCCTTTCATAGTGCTTTTTTTTATTCTAAAGATCACAAAGTGGGTCAGCTTCGTCCACCATTGAAGTACAGCACTCAACTGTGTCACGAGCTTCCACCATTAGGCACTAGTAACCTCGCTACACAGCCAGATGAGGAGAAGTGAAAAATTACTTCACTGTTTGAATTAAGGGCAAGTTTAAGGCCAGACTGAACAAGGCTTAGCTGGAATCTGGCCAGGACAAGATCCCTGTTACCAGCAGAGCGTGGGATGTGTAATGACCAAGTACTCAGGAGGACCTTAGTTTCAAAGTCTCATCCAGAGGATGGCTCCTCCTACAGCAGTGTCTCCCGTTACTACAGTGGGGCTTTGGATTCGAACCTCTGGCCCAGAGGTTCACCAACACGACTCACAGCAGCCGGCTGGTTTTCCTGAAGTGGATCCCTGATTCCTTGATGTGACCCATTTCATGTGGCTCAGCTCCTGGGCTCTGCCATTACTCGGCTACAACGTGATGCAGGCTGCTGTCCAAAGTACCTCACTGCCTGGAATCCCCGAGCTGTCCTGAGTCTCTCCACAATCACGTCGGAAATCCAACATACTCCTGATTCTGTTTTCTTTGAATGCTTTTCTGTCACTCCAATAAGAAGCATATTTAAAAGTTGAGGGCTGAAATTCTTAAGGAGGAGGTTGAAACTGCTCTTGTGATTTAAAAAAAGGACTCAAGTTGTACAAATTTTATTCAGCACATTTTCTCATTCTCCTGGGAAATCCGGCTGATTTTGCTTAATGCTTTTTTGTGAGTTTTTTTTTTTAAATGTCCTGTACGTGTAATTTTATTATTCAACACCTTGTTTAAACACCACAATTAAAAGCCACAGTGAGTGAAGTTCAGTAAGAAGAAAAAAATATTCTAAGCTTAAAACAGCATTTAAAACAGGTTATTCTAGTATTCATTCTTTTGATTTTTAAAAATTCCAAACAAAATCTAAACTAACCTTTCTCCTTTGATACCTGAAGCCTTAGGCCATTGCAAAATGCCCCATGGCCTTTCCTAGCAGTGTATAAGGTCTCTTCGAAGCAATGGTAAATGACACCAAATTCAAGCTACAAGTAAAAGAAATGAAATGCATGAAGAGACCACACGTGTAGATTCTAAATAATGGCTATGAATGAAGATTTCAAAGAAAAAATGTACAATCAGTCAAGAACAGAGGGCAACAGGATAACTTAAAAGTGAAATGAGCACACTGAAATACAGTACCAGACAACAGCAAATGCAGAAAGAATTCAGAACAGATGACTGGTGGGGAAAAGACACCAAATACCAAACACCAAATCCACATTCCAACACACAAAAACAGATTGTAATTCATGTATCACAGCTGAAAATTAAAGCATTAACTGTATTCCGACATAAAACCTCTGGTCTTGGAACCCGTGTTAAAAAGGTTCAGGTTTTCTACCCATCATTTGAAGCTCAGCTATCTCCTTAACAAGCTGGACAATTCCACTAAAGGTTTTGCTTTGCTGGTTGTTTTTGAAAAATGAGGATATTTTATTTGTATACTCCAGTATTGAAATACCCTCAGTATTTAAAAAAAAAGATCTAAAAAATTAAACATAAAGTGTTTTCCATTTATCCTGATAGCATGATTATTTTCTATATGTTATTCCAGCCAGTAAGATGGCAATGCATATTGCCAAATACACAGACTACCTCTGAAATAAAAAGGCCATTGCAATAACTGGTAAACAAATTAAAGGTATTATTAAGATAATTCTGAAGGGAACACTAATCAAAACTGAGCTGATACAGAAATATACAAATATTTCTGTGGGATCATACTTTTTTCAACATCCCTGTTTACATCTCCTTCAGAAGTTGCCTCTCAAATCCACAGATTGAAGTGGTCTATAGCTGCAGGTGCCAATGGCTTGACTATTCCAAGTTTACTAAGACAAAGACTTTCAGATCATTTCCCCGATACTCATATTCTTTGCATACAAACCCACAAATATCTTCTAAGAACCAATGCAATGGAATATACTGGGCTTGCTACAGTACGTACATCTCCAGTCATTTGTATTGAAACGTGATGCAAACAGCCAATCTGAATAACCAAAATGTGCACTTGAGCAGCTCTGACCAAGAAAATCAAGGAATTCTGCAGTACTTGAAAGCACAGCTTTAACTCCAGGTGACCATCAAATCAGCAACTTACAGAATTCATTTTATACCTCTTTTTTCACAGCAAAACCAATGCTTACTGCCACCATTGGGAAACTGAAAAAAGAACACAGAATTCGAGTCATTAATCAATTTTAGTAGATGGAAACGCACTCACTGTTTACACAATTACACAATTGTATTTTTCCCTTAACCGACTGCTGGCAAAGTTTAAAATGTTTTCAGGGTTTTTCTTTCCTTTACTGAGGATACCTTACACACTTTAGCACTCGGCAACAAGTGTCGCTGAAGAAACCCTACATGTTGCTCAAAGACACGCACATCGCACATCTGTGCTGCAGACCTGACCTGGGAAACGTACAGGAGGGCAAAATATAAAGAACAGTCGCGCCTAAATAGTGCATTGTGTGCGACACAGAAACACCACTAAAGAGACACATGTGTGATACTCTCGATTAACGTACCTGTGCACAAAATTGCAGGTCCCATCAATGGGGTCGATGATCCAGGTAGGGCTGTCTGTCAGGAAGCATCTCTCTCCAGCTGCAGAAGACTCCTCACCAATGAACCTGGAAGAGGAAGCATGACACAGCTGGCCTGTCGTTACCGAGACCAGAGCGATACCGCAGGCTGCTTCCAGGAAACACGGGTGATTATTCACGTCACAAAATCCCGTTTCAGAGACCCAACAAACTCTAGCAGAGAAAACCAAGAAGCCTGGCTTTGCAATTTCATTCAGGTCATCATTAGGTAATCATGTTCACCACAGGTGCCCAATTTTCAAACAATCAGAGGTTGGCCCAAAAAAGGAGTTCAGGGTGTATAAATCTTTCATGATGGATCTATCACAGTTGCACAAAATTAAGTTTTTCTACACCGTTTACAAAAAATAAACATCTAACAATATTAAAAATCTTAAAAGCACCATTAGGGTGAGTATATAAATATAAAATGAGAGCTTGCTTTCATTATAAATGTCAGATACCCTAAAACAGTTTGATATTGTGAGCTTCAGTCTACCTTTGGGAAAGGCAGGACTTACACAAAACAACACTCCCCACGCTGGGCCCCTAAATCTGCCAGTTTAGAAGTTCTCCTTTGCCCGATGGGTAACTTCTCTTGCTGCTATTTTTTAGGGGCACAATGGTGAACCCCACTCGTGTTAGTGTCTGGGATTACTCCCTGGCTCCAGGCTTCCCATCAAACGTCTGGGCACCGATGCTGTTCTGCAGCAGCTTTTTACTTCGGAAAACTCTTCCTGACCGCATTAAAACCACACCCTCTGCTGAAGGTTTTAAATCTCGCCTCAAAACCTACTTGTTTCCAAAGGCCTTAACCCAATTCTTGCTTTTAATTTCATAATGTACACATTTTTTATATTATTTCTTTTCTGCTTTTGTACATTTTTCTTTGTTTCCAATAAATGTAGAATGCCTTGGGAAAGATCGGTCTAAAAGGCTCTAAATTAGAATAAAGTTTGATTGCTGGTTGTACTGTACTTGCACCCACTTCTGATTATCTCAATATTATCCATCTTGCTCTGTTCTGCAGGTGGCCACATACTGTGTCTTGTTTTCAGTCACACATATATCCACTTATTCAGCGCGAATATCAATGTCCATCATAAGGGTGCAGCTATTCCCAAATAGTTTCCCAGACCCGCGCTAATACCTTGTCACATGACACGGTTTAGCCAATAGGTGCGTTAACCTGAATTACACTGCGCCCCAGGGAAGTCGGGATGGACTAATTATAGTCCTGCACACCTGGGATATGTGCGAATGTTGGTCTATAACTTAGTTTGAATCTAAATTAGGAACAGTTTTCTTGTCTGCAGGGGCCAAGCCGGAAGCCTGAGATCTTCATGCACTCGCAGATTTATAATCATGACGTTAACACCTTTTCACCTCTTTTTGATCCCGTGACCCAGAGAGTGAGAGCTCCGAATCAACGACTGCCACTGCACGCCCACGACTGAGTTTCTGTTTCTGTGTCTCATCTGAAGGGATAACCAGTGAGACTGTAACTTGCTCTGGAAAACGCCCATTAAGTCAGTGGCAGAGCTGGAGCTCTAACTGGGTATCGGCTTGATTTACATGTAACTATGTGTATACAACCATTTTTTTATATTAATTCTATCCTGTGGTAGAATAACAGTAGTGATATTAGCCATAACGGGCTCCTGGGAACTCATCCCCATGGATCCCAGGCAGTAAGTGCCTTGGTTAGCGCCGGCCCTCTGAAACCCTTCCTCAGGGCTGAAAGTGGCACCGCTGTATCGGTGCAGCACTGTATTAAAGGGGAGCTGCAGGCCCAATTTCTCAGACCGGTTATTAAATCTCTGTAACAAAATAAACAAATCCGTTGACGTTATAGAAAAAAATGACAAACGTCAAATTAAGCACAAAATTGTGAACTTCGTTAAAGTACAGCGCGAATCGGCCCTTCCTGTTCACTAGTCACGGTAATGACTACTGCGCTGCGATGTTCGAGCCAATAAGTACAGGTTATGCAGCACACATCTGACCACAGAAGTGTTCCAACGTGACCTGCAAGCACAGTCAACAAGTAGTATCTGTCGGCAAAACTGTCTCGAAGTGGAGAGCAATATCTCTAAAGGAGCTGTATTCACAAGCCTGCTCGTTTACAGTGAAGTAAGGCCGCCTCACTTCACCAGAGGATTTGCTGCCTCGTTCTGAATCACATAATGTGACGCAGAGCTTACCTGGACATTCAGTCTACTTTGTGGGGGAGGTGTGGAGGTTTTACAGTGTGTGTCACTTCAATTCCAGCT